TGGCAATGACAAGAAATATACTGAATTTATTAATTAACGATACACGAAGTCAGATTCCGTTTCTTCTGTTCTGAGAAGTGGAGTTAACGGTGCCTGAAATGGCGCTGAATTATTTCTTTAATGGCCGCGACAGAAGGAAATAAGCCTTGCTTGAAACAACCAGGAAATTCTAGATTAAACGTTTAGATTAAATCTAAACTTATCTTAATTTAAATAAACCTTAAGTCTAAATTAATTAGGGAACTGTAGTCGTACATACAGCTATGCTTCACAATTCTTTTTGTTAAATAAATGACAAAGTAACCAATTAGAAACAAGCATATTTTCTATTAATTATTGTTACAATAGTATTGATAATATTAATATTATTGATAACATTGATAACATTGGTAACATTGGTAACATTGATAACATTGATAATATTGATAACCATTTTCTGTTTAAAAAATTTATTTGAAGAATTAATAACAAAAAGTTACAATAAGATGGTATAAATTGTTTAATTCAAAGTTACAATTTCTTTGTAATCGCAGAAAACATTTCCAGCGATTTTACTGACGATGAAGATCGCAATTCATTTTAGAACTCTTTGGTACAAGATGGCATATTCCTTTGCAAGAAAGCGATTCATAGACTGAGGAACGCTGTACCAAAGGATTTAATAAAGATGTACGATAAAAAAGAAACTTTAACTTCAGATAGGGACGTACAGTTCTAGCCTTGAGCCATAAGTTACCGCTTCAAACAAGTTGAGGCTCATATCAGAATTGCTAAGACCTCTTTTAGTCCTCGCGCACGAAACAGAATTGTTTTTACAGGGGAAAATATAAATAACGAGGAAAGTGAGGCTTTGGAGTGTCAAACTAAAATTTACACTTTAATCGAAGGGAATTTATTTTGAGAAGCCTATGGCTTATAAGGAGTATTTTTCCCGAATAAGACATGTTTGATTCGAAGGATTTGATAACTTGAGGAAATGAAAATTAGGAAATTTTTATTAACCTAAATTAGGAAATTTTGTGAAGTTAATTTTATTAACCTACTTACTTCATTAACCTTAATAACTTAGGTTATTTAATAAGAATGTTCGTGTTCATTTTACAACCTCTTTTCATGATTGTCTTGGCATGATGCACCTGAATATACCTGATGTTCAAGTGCATGCAATATGGAACATAGAGAAACCTTCTACACATAGAAGAATGCGTTCCTGTTTACGTAACATTTCAATCGAAGGTCGAATCCACGGTCTTCCCTAATTGTATACCCACCAAAACCGATGAATCGAATATATTGAATTTCCGAGGGAATCTTTAAGGAGATGATTCATCGTCGTCTCGTTTTATCTGTGAAATATCTGCAGTCCTTGCGAGCCTGGAAAGGCCACGTTATGGTTCGAATCACGAATTTCGCAGTGTGAATACAGTCAAAGGAATTCTGAATGGTTCCGATAGTTTTGTGACATAATCTCTACAGTGCTTTCTTCACTTCGTTAGTGTATGAAGAGTTTGGAATTTGAAACGTTATAGACTTACGGAGTATCTGATCTTACTATTTTTATCCATAATATAAAATGATAAAGTGATATTTGAAACGGTATAAAATGTGTGAAATTTAAAGTATTGCTGACCAGAAAATTTGGAGAACATTGTACAATGTAAAAAAATATAAAAAGAGAAAGCATGGTAAGATTCATTTATTTGATAAGGTAGATAGAAATAAGAATTTGAGATATAAAAGTAGGTTGAGAACAATGAAAAAGAAAAGGAAGCTATACGATAGTCGTCAAAACTTTCTATGCCACCCACTCAAGTTAACAACGACCTGTATCGATACCATAAAACTGCTTATAAATTCTGAAGGTTTCGATAAAGTAGCACAGAAAAGAATTAAAAAGTAAATAACCAAAGCATTTCATTTGATTCATGCAATAAAATCAAATAGATTGCATTTGTGAATTATTGTTCCATTTTATTTCGTTTCAACTGTGTAGCATGTTATGAAACATAATTTTAGGTAAAATTGAAATGGATGAATAGGGAATTACTGTTGTGGAAAGTAATTTAATATGCACATATATGAATATATAGAATATATTCTGAAGGATATAAAATATTTTCATGTTTTTCACAGTATGATGGAAAAATAACGGAGCTTTTTAAATAAAAAGAAAAGAATTAGTTATTTTGCCAAAATTAACTTTTTTTATTCAAAATACATTCTTTTCGCATCAATCCACCGCTGGGTACGCTTACACAACGTGTAAGGAATCGCTTCAAACACCCTCGTCACAGCTGCTTGGACTTGTGTAACAGTGTCATAAAACATTCCTTTCATAGCTATTTTCCGTTTTGGAAAAAGGAAGCATGGAGATAAGTTAGGCGAATTTGGAGGATGTTGGAGCACACAGACTTGTTTTTTCGCCAAAAGTTCACGAACAGCGACAGTTCTGTGACATGGTGCATTATCATGCAACAGAAACCAACTTCGCGGCGTTCGATATTCGGGTCTCACACGAACGATCCTCTTCCACAAACGTTCCATAACACCGAGATAATATTCGCCATTAACATTTTGTCCCTGTGGAACGAATTCCCGAAGTATAATTCCTTAAGAATCGTAAAAGCAAATTAACATTGTCTTCTCTCGGGACTTCTGGAAACGCAATTTTTTTATTTTGAAGAGCCTGGAGATTTCCACGAAGCACTTTGGTGGTTTGTTTGAGGTTTATACTTGAAGCACCAAGTCTCATTACTAGTTACAATTGATTCCAGGAATGTACAGTTTCGTCTAGCTGTTTTAATAAGATCCTCGCAATATTCAACGCGAGCAATTTGTTGCGCTTGTCCGTGATTTTGTGATACGGTGACGAAAGGTTCTGTCGCATTAAACGCTATAAGTTCACAATTCGTTGCCCGACTCCGAATAATGATTGTTGAGTTTTATAGGGGAGGTATACTGTTTTCAGATAAAATGTTGTTTTAATAGATGGTGCTAGTAGTTTTCGTTAAATTTAAAAAGTTTCATTACTTTTCCGATATACTGCGTAAATTCTAGAAATGATAAAGTTTTTAAATGTAATTTAATTGATCATTAATTTTCTAAGCTTGAGTGAATGGAGTATTAAATTCAACTGCTTAATCTTCATTAAATAGTCCAGTCAATATAAATTGTTTGAATAAACCAAGATTGTTATTAATGTCTCGGCCGCACGAAAATCGCAAACGAATTTATCGTGCAATTAAGCTTCTATTTATCGCGGACATTTTTTCTCGTGAAACCTCAAAAAAGAACCCAAAGTATTCGACATATATCGAGTCTTCTCATTCAAACATAAATAGAAATAAATCGCAGCGTGCAATTAAGCTGCTACTTATCGCCTTCCGTTCGTAATTTCGGGGTCTGCAGAAAAAGAATGTCCAAGAATCCAATCTTCCTCTAATTAGAAGTATCTTATGTCGGAAAATAAAAATAATTATTGATCCTCTTCGTTTACGTCATGCAATTATCTTTCTATTTATTGCACACTTTTTTACTAGAATTCCGAGAAGGTGTAAGTACAAGACGAATACTGTAAGTTAAGACAGAATTACAGTTAAAATCCGAAATAAATTTTGTCTCGAAATTAAGCTTCCTTTTATTGCATTTTTGCGTCGAGTTTGCATAATTGGAAGAAGAAAATCCGTAAAGAATAAGGTCTAACTAGAATAAATTCAGAGTATTCAACAGTCATTTATCTTTCTTAGCCCATAAACAAAATCGGAAAGAAATTGCATCGCGCAATTAAGCTTCTATTTACAGCGCGCCTTCCTTCTCTCCAAGCCCGAATTTTAAAAAGAACAGCGAGAAATAAGTGGCCAAAAATTATCCTATTGATCATTTTCCAGGCCTATAAAATCGGAAATAAAATGTGTCTTACGATTAAGCTACTATTAACTACATACCTTACATCTTCCTTTTCAAGCTTTAAGACACCCAAGAAGAAATAACCCAGATTGACCTTTTTCACTTAAGCCAGGGCACAAATTCAGAAATAAATGGTGCTGTGCAATTAAGATTCTATTTACCATACGTTATATATCTTCTTTTGTATATTTCATTCTCAAGCTGAAGCTTTTAGCGTGACGCACAAGAACTGGCTTAAAATCACCTGTTGATCACTTAACGGTACTTCGCAAAAAAATCTATTAACGAAATTAAAGTTGGGTCTCGCAATTTAATCAACCACTTCGAAAAGGGGTTGTCACCACTCCTTTTAGTTAATTTAGGATAAATTTTAGTAATTTTTATGACTCTATTTTTAGAAGTATTTTATGAAATATCAAATTTTTAGATTTTTCAATTGCTGAATATCTATATTTGTAAAATTAGGAACTGTTGAATTTGTATTTTAAATTTCTAAATTTTCGAATTTCCACATTTATAGAATTTCTAAATTATCCTAAGGTTCTCAAATTTCCCAAATTTCAAATCGTCCAATTTCCCAAAAGCTTAAATCTTCAAATTTCTGATTCCAAATTGCAGAGTTCCCAAATTTCCATATTTCCAAATTATCGAATGATCAAATCCCTAAATTCCTTTTTCAAATCACCCCATATACACATACCAAGTCCACAAATTACCAAATTCGAAATTAACAATTTTCCAAAGACCCAAATCTCCCAAATCCTTGAATCCTTGAATCTTTGAATTTTCAAATCCCCAAATTCGAAATTTCCACCTATCCTGTCCATCGTAATTTCGAATCCCCAAACCCTGAATCTCCAAGCTTGCAAGCAGTGCAAGTTCACTCACAAAGATTGCCATAACCTTACAGAGTTACAACCATAAAAAGGAAGCTAAAATCATTGACCGACCATCGAATCGGCACCGATCGTAAAATGTAGCCAGAAGCGATATGTCACGAAGGTGGTCGATGGCATCGTTTCTCGTTCGCCAAACGAGGGGTCCTCGAGACCAACAGGGATCACGACACCGTGGTCGGGAACAGGTGGAGGGGATAGAAGAGGCACGCAAGAATTATCCCTGAAGAGTCGAAACGGAGAAGAATGGGGAAAAGAGAAGACATCAAGGAGGATGGGCACCAAGTTGGTAGGTTGGTCTGGTTGCCGACCCCCACCCTGTATATAAGCCTTCTTCTGCCGGCTTCGTCTTCAGTCTTTCGGTTCGAACGGCACACTGCGTGTACAATCCGAAGAGATCATCATCTGTTCGAAACTTGCGATTCGTTTGGGACAATGGCTTGTTAACGGAGCCAACGCGCCAGGATGCTCGGCCGTTTGCGCGCCGCTTTCTTCAGCCTGGTACGTGCCCCATATACATACACAGGATTACGCTTCGCGAGAGTGCATCTGCTCGATTAGACGACGATAGTGAGATTAACGTTCGATGACGTATTGGTATGTCACAGTTTGTCAAAATAGTACGACAAAACTGAGCAGGTACACGTATGTGCCGGTTAAGAATGTACTTCAAACGCATGTATCTTTCGCGATTCAGATGCTATGCAGAAGCATCCATTAGGGTGATACTTAAAAGTCAAACTTTTAAATGTTGCTAAGACTTACAAGTACTAATTAAATATTATTCCATTTGCCATGAGGAGGCATAGGTGAAGTTGTCTTACCTTGTATGAGATTTTAGAATATGCTTATTTGTATTTTTAATGACGGATGCGTGTAACAAGTAATCTCTGAAATTGTCAACATAGCACCAGAAGGGGATACATAGTATTTATTCATAATAGTTAAACAATTTTTATGGAAGTATTCTTGAATCAACATTGTCTAATGAATTAATATGAATGTAAATTGTAGATTTATTTCGTAATTTTGAAAGGTTTACTTTGTATTCTATTGGTAAATAAACATAAGTATGATATGCAATAAAATAATTGCATATTTTCTCTCGAGAAATACTTATAATAGCTGAATCTTCAAAATTTATTTGAAAAATATCAAAGATATTATTTTAGACATGTTACTTATACGTGTAATTAACTCTCATAAAAAAATATTTTTTTTTATCAAATAAGTACTACCCTAATTTATAAGCTTCAGATTCTACCTGAATAACTTTTTAGAAATTGGTTCAAACAATTTGAAATTTTGTGAGAAGTATAACAAATTAGACTATTGCGTAATGTCTGAAGGGATGACAACAGTTAGAATAGCAATTTTTATTTATTTTGATATTCATGTGTTTACACCTTCTGTAATTGCAGTTAGAGAGATACTATAAATTGTGTGGAACGTGTAGAATGTTTCATACATGGTATTTGGCCGTGTGTGGAATTCCATACTAGAAAATTCGAAGAGCATTTTTTCAAGTTTGCAAAAAATCCTAAGCATTCTTATTTTCACAAATTTTTTAATTCTGAAATTTACAAAACTACAAATCTACAAATTTACAAATATACAAATTTGCAAATTTACAAATTTACAAATTTACAAATCTACAAATCTACAAATCTACAAATAAATTTACAAATTTACAAATTTACAAATTTACAAATTTACAAATTTACAAATCTACAAATTTACAAAACTACAAACTTACAAATATACAAATTTGCAAATTTACAAATTTACAAATTTACAAATCTACAAATCTACAAATCTACAAATCTACAAATCTACAAATTTACAAATTTACGAATTCTTAAATTCTATAATTTAATTATCGAATTTTCAATTGAACACTGATACCAAATATGTGAAACTAGATTCACGTGGCAAATTCCTTGAAATTAAATCAGTAACAATGAGGTTAAGCGTCTACGTTAGGATCTCCTGAACCTAACCTTGATCAAATTATCTCATACTGTTTAGATAGATATATGTTACTACTAAACCTGAAGCAGACACTTTTCTAAAAATGTTTTAAATCTATTTTATAAATATTTCTTTTCATGCTTGACGTGTTAAATTAATTTTTCACAAATATTGCGATGAAATGAACTATTTGGATGTAAAATATAAATTTCCGCTCAGTAAGAAAGTTTGTTATATTAACAATCAGTTGGTTGTTCCTTGTTTGCATATCAAACATGATATGTTTAAAATGAAGTTAAGTGAATATTAGATTCCGCTCTGGTAATGAATTTACATATCGTAGAAAATTGAATTGTACTTTAAATTAAATGTTACGCAAATGTAATTCTCAAACATTTCATCCAAAGTTAAACACAATTTCAGTACGATTGTGCTGCGTATTATATTCGCAATTAAAAGCATGCTTTTTCATTGTAAATTCAATAAATGTAATTAAAACCTTCTGATCAAAAGAAAACCAAAATCAAAAATATCGAAGCAACCAGAATTATATAATTTCAAATATTAAGTATTTTATTTGGCACATCAATCACGATGACACTTTCGTTTTCACTGGAAGTGAAAATTTTTACCGGAACGATTTCTCACACTATTCATTAACGTGATCGCAAATCATTTTCCATAAATCATGCAAGCGGACATTAGATAATTTACCAGTAGTTATATAAATTTATAAATTTTCAAGGAATACAATTTTCAAATTTTCTCATTTTTAATTTCTCAAACTTCGAAGTTTTCAAATTTTTATATTTTTAATTTATCAACCTTGAAATTTTCAAATTTTTTCACTTTTAATTTCTCAAACCTCGAAATTTTCAAATTCTTCAATTTCCAATTTTTCAAACCCCGAAATTTTCAGTTTTTCATTTTCAATTTTTTCAATTTTTTAATTTCCAATTTCTCAAATCTCGAAATTTTCCAATTTTTTCATTTTCAGTTTCTCAAACCTCGAAATTTTTAATTTTTTTAATTTTCTATTTCTCAAACTCCGAAATTTTCAAATTCTTCAATTTCCAGTTTTTCAAACCTCGAAATTTTCAAATTTTTAATTTTCAATTTCTCAAACCTCAAAATTGTCAAATTCAGCAAACTTAAAATTTGTATATTTAGAAATTTTCAAATTAAAATATTTAGGAATTTTCGAGTGCTATAAGTATTCTGTGTATACAAACATATAAGTATATTAATGACTTACCTAGTGATTGTCCTAACTCAGGTCATTGACCTAAATGTTTGACCTAACCCAGAATTCAAATACCCAATAAAAGGCAGTATTAAATTTGCAGCAGGGCTCGTAGAGACGAGTATGAACAATCTATGATTAAGAAGGCAAGCGGTGAATTTATTAGACACATAAGAGACAATGATCGTGCGTCGATCTCTTATGGTATGCATCCTGTAAATATAGCGATGATAGGCGTTTACACCTGCGCGTTTCTTGCATGAAAGCGAGATTCATGCCACGTCTCGACGAAATACCAACGAATTACGAAATAAAGGCATACGTCGATTCGACTGCAAATAGAAAATCGCAACCGGGTTAGCGATGATTCTCATGCATCGTCCACTGCAACACGTGTCACTTTCAAGACAAAAGTGAAAATAGTTGTCCCTCTTCGTTTCTAGTTTTCCTTCTCCTTCGTTAAAGTCTATCAATGAATATTATCAGCTTTTTTATGGAAGCACAATGGCTACTTATGCGAATTCAATGGACATTTCGAAATAATGAAATCATGCAATTTGCATAAAACTTGAATACTTTTAACGTGGAGCTTGGATTTCAAGGACTGTTAATTATTATACAGGACGCAGTGAGAATGAACATACAGTAACTGTGTTTATACAAAAGCTATCAAGAAAAAACGGAAAACTTTAATCGGACGTATTTAGAAAATTATGAAATTATCAAATAAAATGTTACTCGAAAAGAATATCACTTTATGTTTGATTTTATCAGAAAATTAATTACGAAGGCATAGAAGATGGCATAAAAGTTAACAAAGAGGACAAATTTAGAACATGAAATGGAGAACCAGTTGTTCCACATTGCGAACTTTTCAGCAAATCAGAAATATTTGAACCGAAAGATGAAAATGTTTCACTGAGACTGTTGAATGTTTGCAGTATTTGTAGGAACGATGTATAATTTTTTAATGGAATTGTGTATCATTTCACAAAAGAAAAAACTTGATAAGTGAACATTTTCAAGATCAATTTTTCTATTGATTTTTTCCAAATTGATTTTAAAAGATAAGAAGATATATTTTTGTGTAAACGTATGGGTCATTAAACTTTCAATAGATGATAAGTAACATTCGATTCATTGAACATCGTACACGAACCAAAGCGAAGGATGATTACACTGACATAATGGAAGAGTCGGTATCGTAATGGCAGGGGCTCGAGCACGCGAGAGTTTCATTGATCTTGGCACTCGTTCGCGATGTCGTTGCACTACATTTCATTCATAACTCTCAATGCCGCGTAATAGTGCTATTATGTTCAGGTGCAATGGCGTGTTGTTGTTGGAGCATGACGCCATTCATTCGAACGCTCGTCGATTGCCCTCTCATCGAGATAAAACTCTAATATGTATAATAGCAAATATTGATATCGTTAGCTGTAATTATTTTTATATTTTAACTGTTTTCCAAGAACAATAAATACAATATTAAATATCCTGCACGGATAAAATTTGTAGGTTTACATATTGTAAAATATGGGAATCATTATTATTTTGATGATACGTAATAATTCATATACAAAACTAAATAATTATCACATTATCGATGTCGCATTTTACCATAAATATTTTCTTTTTTTATTATATTATTTCTTGTATTTTACTCTTCTTTGCGAAGCTTCTGATTTGGCGCGCTTTTTAAATTCATCGCAAACTTACTAATGTATGTTAATACGTTATTGCTACATTTGACTGCCATTTTATTTTTGGTCATTCAAATGTTACTTTTATGAACTTGTATGTGCAAGTTCGTACAAGTTTACACAAGTGTACATAGTTTAAATAAAAACAAGAAGAAAATGTTAAGAGTTCATGTATTAATTAATTTTCATAGAATATGCAAATAAAGTATTACGGAAAATAACAGGGCACCCTGTACACGTAATTTATGAGACTTATAATAAAAGTTTGACGCGCAGAGTTTTAGAAAAAAAATAAAGGGCTTGTGAAATAATAGTCAATGGCTAACACAAGATCTGCTCATCTGTTAGAGAACTTCCATTACGAATAGATCCCTTCTATCGAAAGTCTGGCAATGATTGACGACTACCGGTTGAACTATAGTCTGCTCCGGCTCTATCTTCAATCAGTAGAAATTATCTCTAGATACAATCCGTTTCTACTGTTTACAAATCCAGCTAGATACAGCGTTTAACTCTTTGATACGGCTAGTTAAATACAAAAGCTCAGCTAATTTGTTCCGGTCCGTAGCTGCCCGTTTGCCGCG